GGGAGCTGCAGTGTTGCTGGAAGCAGAGGGAGCAAAGGGGAAGCTTAAGGAGTGAGGACAGAGGTGGTGGAGGTGGGTAGACCTGTGCACCCCCCAAAGGACTGCTGGCTTCACTTGAGAGATCAAGGAAGTCACTTAGTCGAGGGACCCATGTGGTCTGACAAAGTTTTGCAACACGACCCCCTCTGCTGCGGTGTTGAGAAGAGACTGGAGGGGCAGGAAATGGAAGCAGGGGGACTGATAGGGACCTACCCAGGGAGAGATGATGGTGGCCCTGGACCCTGAGGTGAGGATGATTGGATTTTGGATCCCCTGTGAAGGTAGAACAGACAGGGGTCTCTGAAGGAGCTCACGTGGCACGTGAGAGCAAGGAGTCAAGGATAATGAGCTTTTTGGCCTGAGCAGCTGGAAAAATGGAGTTGTTATCAGTTGAGATGAAAAGACTGGGAAGAGCAGGTGTTTTTTTAAAAAAGTTTTTTAAATTGATTTCAGAGAGGAAGGGAGAAGGAGAGAGAGATAGAAACGTCAATGATGAAAGAGAATCATTGATCAGCCGCCTCCTGCATGCACCACACTGGGGATCGAGCCTGCAACCCGGGCATGTGCCCTGACCGGGAATCAAACCGAGACCTCCTGGTTTATAGGTTGACGCTCAACCACTGAGCCAGTGTGTCCGGGCATGGGAAGCGCAGGTTTGGAGAGAAGAGCAGGTGGTCAGTTTTGAACACGTGGAGCATTAGGTTTGTCCCAGACCCTGGAGGTCCTGCCCTGATTTTCCAACACGGTGCTACAGCCAGCACGAGGGGACCAAAAGGGGCTGCTCTTTACTCTGTCTGCAGGCCACAAAGTCAGGTCCTCCCACTCTGCACACGTTAGGAAAGAACCTACCCATGTCTTGGTGCCCTCTCCATGGTACCACCTGTGTCACAGAGCCCTGATGCTCATCTGGCCAGGTTGCCACCAATTAGTTGAGCATTGAAATCCTTGCTGCACCATTCCTAACAGCAGCTCCGGGGAGCCCAGGACGTGCCAGAGACCCCAGTTTGCCTGCTGGCACTTTGGACTGTACTGACCATTTCTAAGTTGTGGAAGAAACAAGCACTTATTTGCAAATGAGCATTTATTGAGCTTACGATATGCAGGGCACTGTGCCAGACAACACAGATGAGTGAAGATAGACGGGAGAATGCCATCTGAGAACTGGAAGGAGCCCTGCCCCTGTAGGGCGTACAGTCTAGCTGGGAGGCATTGCATATATACAGCTTAAAGATACAAAACATCAAAGCAACACTTGCAGGTGTTTATCTGGCACAAAGTGGGGCTATGGGAATGGAAGCTGCTGGGACCCAGTGGTCAGCTACTTCCTCCCCTCAGCTCAGAGCCTTCTCTGTCCCCAGCCTGGGGACCTAGCCACCTGCCTCTATGCTGCCCGGCCTCTGTCTGGTTTGAGGTGTGACTGACTTCCATCCTCCTCCACACTGTGTGCTCTTCAAGGGCAGAAACCATCCCCGTGTTCTTCGTCGTTTTATTCCTGCCCTGCCAGAGCCCTCCCCCAGGCCCTGTGTCCACCACAAGTGAGTGGGTTGGGCTGAGCAGGCTCAGTTGCGTACTTTGGTGTCTGCCAGGGGCTTCCAAGAGGGGCCTAGGACTTGCCTCAGACCGGACCTGGTCTCCTCTGACTTCTGACTGGAAAGATCATGGGGTTTTGAATAAAAGGCCTCAGTTCAAGTCTTGTCTCCACGACTTTAGACCTGTTTCTTAGCTTCAGTTCATAAAAGAGGAAGAACAGTACAGGGATGGGCCACTTTACGAGGGGGGTACATTCTGAGAAATGCATCGTTAGGCAATTTTGTCATGTGTGAACATCATAGAGTGAACTTACACAAACCCGGATGTATAAACCCAGTAGTTGTGTGTGCTATACATTTATACTACTGACGGCGCAGCAGGTTTGTTTACACCAGCATCATCACCAACATGTAATTGTTGTGCTATGATGTTACAATGCTTTAATGGCTACGACTGTCACTAGATGATAGGAATTTTCAGCTCCATTATAATCTTATGAGACCACGCATATGTGATGAGCTGTTGACCTAAATGTCATATTACGGTGCATGACAGTGTTTGCCCTGCCTGTCTCGCAGGGTTGGGATAAGGGAGTACTTTGGAAATAAAACCCCGCATGGTTGGGGGCCACTGTCCTTCCCTAACCTGCCTGCAGTTTTAGGAGGATTAAGTGAGATAATGCATGTAAAGCACCCGGCACAGAGGCTGGGACAGAAGAGATGCTCAATAGGTGTCAGTTCTCCTCCACCCCCATCACTTTGAATTCTGCTTTGAACTCTGACCTCAGGAACCCCAATCCAGGCAATCAGGGCTAGAAGTGGTGGGGATCTCACATTTGGTTCTGAGGTAGATGAAACCCAGGAAGTGAAACAGATATCAAGAGAAATTCTTGGTAACTTCTAAAGGGACAAGTTGAGGTGAGGTGGGGTGCGGATGAAGTGCCTGAGACACATCCAGGCTTGGCCCACAGCTCAGTGCTCTGCTGTCTTTGAACTTTCAGAGGAGGACAGTCAGCTACCAGGCGTACTGCCCTTGGAGGTCACTTTGGTCTCTGACTCGACTCTTCCCCCTGTAATGAGGTCAAGTGGCTGGTCCCGGGAGGGGGGGGGGGTGTTGTG